TAAGCAAGTCCAATAAATAATTGAGTATTACAGAAAATAATGATCAAGTAAAATGTTGTCCTCCTTCCAAAATACATACATAGAAACAAGGTAACACTTACTATTACAACAAAGAATAACATTGTCGCATTCAGTTCGGAACTATTTAGCTAGACTCTCTTACTCTTGTTTCTTCCGCGTCACAGAATTGAATACACTTATTCCTTATTTGGGTCCAAACCCTCTGCCATAGGGCCCGCACTGGGTGGTTGCCGTGTGACGTTACCTCGAGCATATCTAGCTCTCGTATAGTTGCGCAGGCAGGAATGCGTAGATTTCGCACTCCCCTAGGCTGCGCTACGCGGCAGCATCATCCAGGCCGCGCCGCTCGGGACTTCGCAAAGGTTGCGGCCTGTCGCCGTTTGGCGCGGCAACCTTTGCAATCCGGCTGACGCAGACCGGGTCTCCCCGTGAGGGCCCGGGGCCCCGCATTGGCAGTTCGGTAGCGCGGCTCTCGGTGACTCGGCGAGCGTGTCGTTTTGCTTCCTTTCCCGACGCCGTCGCCGACGCCTTCGCCTTCGCCTTCGCGTTGCCGCCGCTGCGCCGGCCCATGGCCTGGCGTGGGCGAGAGACGCTTGGCTGCGGCCTTCTCTGGCGTCATGGCGTTGCAGTCGGGTGGGAAGGGGAGAGTGGGCGGGCCAAGTGACGTGGCGCGCGTCGGGGCTCGAACCCAGCACCCCACTGCTCGCCCAACGATTGGAGCCAGCGCTGGATTCCAGAGCGACTTTCTTTGGAGATTACGTGACGCACGTGGAGGTTCAGGACAACCGGTAAAAGTACTTCTAGGGGCGGCTGCTGGAGGCTCTTTAATTGGAATTAATTGGAATGGGAAACAACTACATAATTATCTGGTTCAGTTTCTCAGTGCAGACAATTTGACTTTGTTCGACAATCAAACTACGTTAAACGAAGCGTAAATGACGCCACTGATCTAAATTCTAAAAGCTGTTTTTACTGTAGTACATTGTAGTGACGTCACATAATGCACTAGAACTGCTAGAGAAGTAATGAAATGTTTAATTGCTGAAATGCAGTTCGGAGACGTCCAGAAGAAAACTAATTCTAACTGCTCAAAAACGTTGCAGAAAAGAGAGAGAAAAAAACAGCATTAATACTAGTAATAACCAGGAGCATTCCGTGGATACAATGCAGCTGGAGTATGCCATGTTATTGGTGCCACATCACAGCTTTGCTTTCTTTCCACCTGCCACCTAACAGATAGTGAAAAATAAAACTAATAATTCCGATCATTTCGCTTATTTGACCGATTCTCTCTTTATTGCACGAATATGATTATCGAGAAAAAAAACCCTCACTAGTTTGAAAGTATGGCTTTTTGAGCATTTAGTAACGACCACACTCACTCTCGCGACCTCCACTTTACAGCCTTGGTAATGTACGATGCTGGACAGGCGCCAATAATCTGTTGGAGTGTTGTTGAGCTAAGCACCAAGGAATCTTGATGAAGTTGGGATTGTCGCTGGTTTTACGTTTTATTTTTTTAGACACCAAATGGAATTTGAATATCCTCATCTGGCATTTCCCTAATGATGGGTGCGCTTGCAAGATTTTATGTGAATTTTAGTTCATATTAATGTTGTTTTTCGCCTCATAGTTCGCATAGCTGTACGACAGATGGGTTCTTTTGGGGTCGTAAGAAAGGTGGTTTATGATTTCAACGCATTCCGTGCACAAACTACTCACGCAATGTAATGGGATAGAAAAGGATTTGAGAATGTTGTGTTGTGGAATAATTGTGTTTTATTTGTTGAGGTGCCTCGCTATATGTTGATGACTTTATGGCGTCTTCTTCGTGGTCTGCAAGCAAGCTCAATTCTGCTTGAATTAAACATCGCCTAATGATACGTAACTAACTTGGATGTGAAAAAAACAACTTAATGTTAACGTTTTACTTCTTTTGTGGGTTTTTCCAGTGGAAGTCGATTACCATCTACGCCCCAAAATTTGGTATATTTCGAGTCCTAAACTAAACTTTAATGTACATGAAGTCTATTCGAAAATTAGGTTGCCGTTACACGATCTTATTACCTCCATTTGTCAGGTCAGTATTTTGAAGTTTGAGCGGTCTGCATGAAAAGTTGACTTTTTCACGTTTCGTCCGAAACGAGCACACGGCATAACGTATAAGTGAATTGTCACTCGTAGTCCGTTCTTGAAATATCGGAGAATAAAAATTGAACTACTTTCTTTCATAAAAGCCAATAATCTAGGTTTTGCCCAAAATGTGAGAGTATTTTTTTACACCCTGATGTCTCATTTGTAAATAAGGGTTTGAATAACTTAAACTATATGTGTGATGATCCGAGTGGGTGATGCCACAGTGATGTGTATGATCGTGCAAACTGACTTCCGTGGAGTTGAAACGACGGCTGTCCGTCGTTTTCCAATACCTGAAATATGCGAGTAACGGTGAAAATTTGTGATCAGTGCCGTATAGTGATGGGCATGAAGTTGCGAACTGGATCTGAAGGCGAAGCGGCCGGTGCGTGGTGCTTTGTAGGCGCGTGGTGCGCCGGCTCCGTGCCGGTAAGAGTAGGCTATCACGTGGAGTGACGTCACAGCGGGGCGCCCCGCTTCAGGGTCGCCTTCGCTGGCGCGTCCGGCGCCCCGGGCTCCCTCGCCAAGGACGCCGCTCTGTCACCACCCTCGCGCTCACGGGGCGAAAGCCCCTCCCGATGCTTTTGAAGCAGAGAGGTCACGTGCTGACAAACCGGAAATGTTAGAGAATTTCAGATTTTTGTGTTCTATTTGCATGGGAACGGTTCCTCAGTGTTATTCAATCGATATAAAATTATTTAAATCAAAATCGTTGCGGTGTTTGTCTAGCCTTCGTCGGGGCAACATGTAATTTTCTCCTCTTTTCCAATGATTTCGATGTTCCTGTTTTCTGTGTCTGTGGCAGATCTGTTCGTGATCGACATTGTCATTTAGAAATTGTTACCTTTCCTTTCATATTTGATTTCTTTATAAATAAGATAAATTTATTTGAACTGCAAATGGGCATAACCCGGTGGCACCTATAAGCTTATGAATCTCATTCCTTAGTGCTGTTGTTTGTACCTTACTGTCAGTGCAAAAATGTGAGGTAGATTGAATTGTGATGGAAAGAAATAAGTCTTCGCGAAAGATGAGACGTGGTTATTGTTTAAACTAGCTAGAAAAAATGTTCTCAAATGCGCGAAGAGTATTTGTATTTGATAAGGCGTGAGCGATGATGCATGCGTATCGTCTGGGACATTACGCACAGCTGACTCTAGTTGAACTGTATTTCACCATGATGATGCTGAGCTGTGTTCAAGGACAAATGTGTCATCGAATATCGGGAAGACGTAAAAAAAACTTAAAATCGAATGCAACGTATGAAAACACGTTAAACTACTAATAGTGTTTCCTTATTGACAAATAATTATCTACTCAGAGCTTATGAATATTTTTACTTCCCCAAAGCACGAATCGTGGGCTTTTGTGTTGGTTTAATGCTAATATAAGTTATATTTCCTCTAAATCTGACAAATAAAAAAATACTGAAAAATTCTTTAGAAAATGCATATTTCAAAAGTACGAATTTGAAGATGTGATCCCCAAGAAACAAAAGTCAAAGAATTGAATCATTCGTACTTTTCAACTACCCCCATACTCTTCAACTACCTCCATACATTTGACGCTCATCACACTTATCTATTGGACATGCAACTACGGTAGACCAATCTTGTCCTAGAGGGAAATTAAAGATAAATGTGAAGTTTCATTACTTGAAGCAAGCATTTCCTTATGTTATCAGAAGATAGGGTCGGAATAATTACTCCGGAAACTACGGTTTCAGAGCTGTTTCTACGATCGAATAGTCTGTTGAACAGTAAATTTACTAGCTTGTGGAATTCATGATATTGGCAGATAGCCCATTATATAGGTTTCATGTGAAACAGTCGAGCAAAACATGTCCGCGTTTAGAAAATATAACTAATAAGGAACATAGACATAGTAATCTAACACTATGCCCATGCTATTTACGGAAGTTTTCAGTACCAAAAAATATGTTACGTGGCAAAAAATTGGGAGCTCGCCTTCGATGATAACGGCTTAGGTTACGGTTATGCCATTACATTGAAGATGTAGGTCGGACAGATTGTTGTCCATCTTATTCATAACGCTAGGTGCGTGACCAAGATGAACGAGGAAAATAGAATAGATTGAATAGACTTTTTGAACATCACTGCCGAGATCGGCATGGTCTACCGAAACATGGTCAAACAAACACGAGTGGGCCGTGGTATGTGACGAATTGGTGGTTTTTCAAGAACCAACAAACATTTTTATCTGGTTGGTTGCATATTTACAATATGTTATATTGGAACAGTTTATAAATTTGATATAGGAATAACATATACAAAGTATGAATGATTTTACAACGTATGAAGAAAGTCAAGTTATTTAGAATGCCATGTGTTTTAACACGTAGCTTAAATCATTGTTGTCTGCAAGATAAACTATGGGTCTATTCACCTTTGTATGATGTTAATGCTGTTCCTTGCTAATATACCTTATACTGTTGGTATATTGAGATCGCTGTGAACTCTGTAGGACTCAGAATACATCGAGCATTTTTAGTTATCAAGATTTTGGATTGAAAGCAGAATATTGTGAAGTTTGAAGTATTTTTCATTCTCAAAATTTCTATTTCAGAGGCACAATTTGTTTGTACTATTGCTTCGTAAAGAAGAATATTATCGTAAGCCGATGAATGTGAGCATTGACTTGCAAGCCAATCAAATTTGTTGTTGTTTTAACTGAGGTAAGCGCCAAATGACAAATGAAATCTTCGCTGGAATAAAGATTCAGTGTCGGGGGCGTCTCGTGCCCCGGTGCGCGGCCCGCGGTCCGCGTATCGAACCCGGTCGCCTGCGGGGCGAGGGAGGAAGAGGGGTAGCAGAGCTGTGTACCTGCGCAAAGGATGACTGCGACGGCGGTGGCCAGCGCGCCGGCGGGCACCGCGGGACGTCGGCCCATGGCGTCGACCAGGAGACTGCGGCGACGGAGACTAGGACGAGGATGGACGCCGACGGCGAGCACCGTCGAGACGAGGAGCGCGAGTCGATCGATCGCTACCGCATGATCCACGCAGAGCTCTTGCCACCTGCAAAGGACTCACTCGCGCACTCGAAGCAATCAACGACTACGTCGACGTCGGCGTGGCGGGAGGTGTCTCGCGCACGCGCACTGCACTACTCTGCGCCGCTGTGTTGGGAGCGCGCGCCGGCACTCGACTGCCGAGCCGGCTGGGGTCTCCGCGTCGCGTACCCAACGTCCCGGCCGGCCCGGCGCGACGCTCGACGGTGCTGCGCTCGCGCGATGCCGCCCGCAACCGGCCTCGCTCTGCGGCGCCCCGCCCCGCTCCGCCCCCGCGCAAGCCACCGCGGGGGCGGCGACCCCGAACAGCTGAGCGGCCACCGCGCGAGTTTTCGACGCGGTGGCGGTGGGATGGGAAATTGGTTATGTGGGACAAATTTTGTTGGGGTTAGACGAGTCCTAAAAATTTCGAAAACAATATAATAATAATAATAATAATAATAATAATAATAATAATAATAAACCGTTATGTAGTACATAAACATCTATAGAACATCCGTACCCAGCTGTAATCGAAAAACTAAAATGAGTCCTTAAAAATAATTACAAATAAGTCAGTGACACACGCCGATGTGTCAAATAAAGCATTTAACAAAGCACACTAACATATTTTGGGATCGCTTAAAAAAATTTTGAACTAATGTTTTTGCTGAGTAGTATCATTCATCTTTATTTCATGTGTTTACTTAAATAATAGGATTGCGCCTGTGCATATCATTTTCTTGAATATTACAAGATTACGTAAAATATTATTCGCATGACTCGCGTGCGAAAGACTCACGTTGTGCTTTTAACGTACGATGCAATTAATTCCTATGAGTTATTGAAAAGAGATTGTTGTTGCGGGTAAATAATTTCACAGAGGTAATTTGAAATTTCATTTCATGCGTTCTTCGCAAATCTTATGGATCAAATGATGTGGATTTTGAGAGACACTCCTGTTTTAGGGATGGCTTCCTCAATTTCACTGAATTTATAAACCCGAGTAACGTGAAATAAATTACAGTAAAGACATTTTTCATGAATAATAAAATGATTGGTAATGTAAGTATTAAAACTATTGGGCAGGCCTAGAATTATATTTGTCATTTTATGGTTGTGATCTTCATTGAAGTTGGAGATTTGCGTTTAGTGGGTAAAAAAGTAATTCGCTTCCCAGTGTTATGTAAGGGAAGTTGGTGCCGCATTCTAATTTCAGTATTTTGCTCTGGCTATCCCTAAGACGTTTGCTGCGCTCGGTAGCCAATATTTTGGTCGCCCTAACGTGGTCTTGTTCATAGCTGAAAAACCAATACATCAGTGATGTCCATATTGCATTTCACCCCTGAAGATCACGAAAGGGTAAAGAAAACGTTGGGAAACAGTCGGCGATGCGACGTTACATCAGTGTAGAAGAAATACAATAGACATATTAACACACGCTGAACCCGTGCGATTACATCGCACAGAATGAAGTACTATAGAAAAGTTACGACAGAAAATACTGCATCTCCATTGATATACTTTGTTTTATATTTGCCAGGATCTTTCCACGTATATACATAGATATTGTTTTGGCCTACAACAGCAAATACTATCAACCTTAATTAAATGTATGTAACGTATGTAATGTATGAAATGGAATTTCCAAATAGTAATCAGAACTGCGTCACCTTTTTGAGGGTTTCCTCTAGATATCACAAGAATGTTATATAAGAAAGTACATTGAATACTGAAAATTGATTGTTACAATCGTTTTAACCATGGTGGAAAGTGCCTTTCCATCGTGGTTTTAACGATCACACAACACGATGATCTAGATGCAAGAACAACACTGCTTTTCTGTTTCCCACGTACTTGCCAAGTTGCGCATGGCGCCATCTTTCCGTTTCTTTTCTAGCCGAGCGTTTCAAACAAAACAAATTTCGTAGCTTTTTATTAATAACGGAAAGTTGTAATCCATTCAATATATAGTGGTTTTCACTCCTTTCTTTGGAACTCGATTAAAATCGTTCACTGGGAGCCGAATGTAGTATATATATTAATGTGTGTGTGTGTGTGTGTATATATAATTTCCCGCTCTGGGATTGAACTGTGGCGCCAAAATTCACAGTGGAACCTTGCCCGACTGTAATTAGGGAACACTTTTACCTTCTGACAGTAACACTCCAACCTGAGAACAACACGACAATCAAAGTATACAGTGACATTTTGTTCCTACAAAGTCTGCAATTAATGGGCAGAAAATAGCTCGCGATTTAGCATTTTATAGTTTGCATACTTACATTTGTCTTTTGTCGATTCATAAAGACATATTATAGTTGGAAGTCAATAAAGCAGGAGCAAGTCTCATCAAACAACATAAACGATATTTTTTTGCAATGGCGAAAAACCGTAATGTGCTATTAGTGAAAAATTACTAATGGAGACCAAACGTTTCATGAAGGAGAATCGCCGGAACTCGAGCAAACCCAAGACTTCGGTTGGAGGAGCCTATGGCTTTACAATGCCATATAGTGCAGTGTCATGACCATGTTGGCCCCTTCTCGGGGAAATTTTGCTTTCCAGGAGCGCTCTGAGAGGTTACGTGGCGAACACCGACAAGGGCGAATTATGTGCAGCGCGGACAGCTGGTTCTTTGTGCAGGTGGGAGAGGAAGGCCCTTTCCCCATCCCCATCGCATCTCGTGAAAGGCGCCCAAGATTTACGGCACCCTAAGGGTTCTGCGAGGAAGGCGTTCCGAAAGCCCTTCGGCGTGACCTGCCCCAGGTGGGCGACGATGGGTGAATGCAGGTGTGGGTCTCCTCCGGAAACGGAAAGCTGTCTTTCATCATTTTTTTCCGATCTTTATGTCGCCATTACCATTTATCACGTAAACACGAACATCTGTGACTGCTGCCTTACAGGTAATAATAACACGAACAAAGCCCGCGGACCGTCAAAATTCAGGTTCATGGTTAACTGTAATCTGAACATTGTTCACGTGATTCTGTACATCCTAGCTCTTAAACCTGTACCAGGATATTTTTTTTACGCTGTGAGAAATTAAAGCTAATATTTGGTTAAATACCAAATGAGTAAAAGGACATCTGTGGGCTCCTTCGGGATTCGTGTAAGTATGCAAATCACACATCGGGGCGAGTAAAGTTGGCTGACATCCCGCATGGACCCCTTTTCGCTCATTTTTTCCGTTCGTGCGCCCCCCCCCCTCCCCCTCACCAATCACCGCACCAAGACTTTGCAAGACACTATTGACTTTTCGACTTCAAAATAAAAAAATGATGCGTTTGTCAAAGCGATGTAGAAGTTTTAAAAAATCTATCTGCTAAGAATTGGGTGTCCTGCATTCGAAAGTACCACTTCCCGGGGTCCTTCACTTCATTTGTTGCCAAGAGCCGTCCTCTGATGGCCTTCAGTGCCGAGAAGAGCGCGAAGGGATATGCTTGGCGCGATATCGAGACGCGACGCAGAGCGGGCTAGGCGCTCCAACGGATGGTTTTGCCTTGTCGCCGCTGAGTGTGCTCGTGCACTGTCGTCCAGAAGAATCATTCAGAATTTTTTCTCGAATAATTTCATCCACACGTCTGATGTTCGCGTACTCAGTGGCTATTGATGCTGCGTTGAATCCAGATGCTGACGCCCGTCACTAAACTGTCGGCACCATCCTCAAACCACGTATTTGCTTCGTCATGACATCTGGACCACACACTTCGACAGGACTGAGTGGATTTCGGCACACGATGTCCTACGTGCCCATTAATAGCGCACAATCACGCGCACGTATGCCGTTGGCCAGGCCTTTTAAGCGACACCGTTGCTCCATCGCAACGGGACTGACTGTGTCGCACCACCGCGGTTTCTGCGACTTGCGTACGTAGATCAATCAAGTAACGCACACATGTGTGCCAAATACTGCTGCTGCTGCTGCTGTTGTTGTTGTTGTTGGTTCCTGGGAAAGAAATAGGGAAACGTATTTTCCGGCTTTTCCTCCTATTCTGAAAGCTTGGTTAATAAATGGAGTTAAAGATTAAAGATCTCAGTATTCGAAAAGCCTAATGTAGGCATACCAAAATATTTATTAGTATAATGGAGACTTTTTGGAAAGTGTGTTTTGTTCGTTTGGAAAAGGTACGTTGAAACATGAAGGTTAAATCAACTCTAAGTTTGTGTTTTAAAAGTCTGAAATTACATTCATTGAGAGGTTTCGACAAAATGTGTTTACTTGGACTTACTCGACACGTAAAGCAATTCGGGGCAATTTATTCTGGTCAGATTAGTTGTGATGCAGGTCCGTTGGTCCCTATCATTTGAACATTATTTTTTTAATAAATTCGGTCTTTTCTCACAAGTTTTTATTCTTTTGTTATTCAAATTTCAGAACGTATTTCAAATTAATTATGAAATGCAAGAGTTTGAGCACACTTTCCGCTTCTGTCTATATTCTATTTCTTTGAAATGCGTTTCCCAGTCGTAATATATTTCATGCGACACACGCTCACACACACACACACACACACACACACACACACACAACCCATTTGGAAGTAAAAGCTTTCTGGAGGACATTTCATTACAACGCTGAGAAATTATTCTTATAAAAATATATTTCGCTTAACCTTTTCAATTTCTTCTTTAGGGCTTCTTTCGATTTTGCGGGAGGAACATGCCTCGCTCACTTGGAAAGGCAATCTGGGGAAACGAGCACAATACCATTCCTCTCTTCATATTTCTCCCTTTTTATAACTGTCCAGTGACTTGTCAATGGCCTCAGAGTGCTTATATTACTTTCACTCTCTCTTCAGGCACACGTTTTGTGCTTTCCATGTACGTTGCACTTTCCTGTTAACGTTTTTTGTGATTGGCAGGAGCCTTCAACCGTACAAAATTGTAGTATGAGTAACTTAATTAACATTGTTTGAAGCACGATTTTCGATTCTAGAAAGAATCTCCAAAATGCGAAAAAAACAACAATGGGTTGGTTTTTTCGTTAAACTAATGACATTTTTTCGATACAGCTTAATTTACATAACACACAATATAAAAACAATTAAATGAGTTTTATGGTCTTTCAAGGACATTTTTTAGGAAAAAATCTGGTAGATGTTTCTTGGGTTGGAGTAAATTTAGCCAATCCTGTATTATTTATATTTTTATTTATTTAATGTCAAAAGCACTTAAAATGTAAGGGTTATGTACTATGAGGAAAGGTATTTCATGTATTTATCATACTTGGTGGTGTGCGATGGGATCGCCAGAGGAGGTTGTTTTCAAGAGTTACTAGAGTCCGCTACTAGATAGCCGAAGCGACTGCTGAAGGGTTTCGGGTTGACGAGAGAATTAATAGTGATGCATGGCATTGGAATGCAAGGTAGGTGAAACGGGAGATCTTCGGGGAAAAATTTCGCGAAGTTTAATCCACCTCAAATTTCACGTGGCGTGTTCAGGAGTTTGCTCTTGTACCCAGCGATTTCTAGTTATGGAGGCGGAAAAATTTGTGGTATACAGACGCGTGTAGGTGAACGTGTCTGACGAGAATTGTGATTTAAAAGCTCTGTTAAGAAAGAAGGATCTGGGAGCTTGAGCAAAACATTGAATTACGTTACAAACACACGCATAAAGATATGCATCAATAGAGTAGATTTTGAAAGGTCTGCAATGGTTTGATACAAAATAAATCTTCCATGCCAGCTCATGAGAAGAAGCTTGACAGCTTCTACGCCAGTCCCGTGGCGTACGCTGCCTCCGATGTGCCCACCTTGAGCGTTGGCGGGTCTCCTCATTTCTGAGAAATCTGTCGCGTTTACATCAGAGTGCATTCGTAGGTCCTAACAATTGATCCCATGCGATTGTAGTGTTGATATTTTGGATAATGGAATCCTCGCAGATTCATAAAGAAAGATGGCAAAAGTCCTTATCTCGTGACTAGATTGTTGACATATAAAATCCTCTGAAAGGCTGATCTCAACCAAATGTAGAGGTCTATTTCAATGTCCCCGAATTTCAGAGTAAAGGCTTAGAAGAAAAACTAGGTGTCATTATCTGACTGAAAGAATTTCATGGTGTCTCCAATTTAGGTAATGTAAAATCAGTTACTCACTGCCATATTCAGAATGATGTAGCACACCAAGAAAAACTGTGGATTTCAATTCCGTGTCGGAGTAAATGTGTGAATGTAAGGACTTCAATGATAACAAAATATGTTTGAAAAGCACACCAGTTTTAATAGTTTTGGATAATAATCTTTTTTTGATTTTTGTAATCTAAATTGTATTGTATCTTCTTGTCATGATTTCCATATAGCAAATTATGGCAAAATAAATATAATATGCGAAGTGACGTATTACTCCGTTCAGATTACTTCACTTTCCTCAGAGTATTACTATTCCTACTTTGGAAGTCCAATCGTACGTTCCTCTTTCCACTTTAGTGTCCATTTGTTTCTTTCTTGGCGGTAGAGCACTGGACACTATGCCGCATACTTGTGCTTGGCGAAATGCATTCGCCGCCATCTGTCGCCTAAACAGACTTGTGTTTACTCGTACTTGTCACGTCACTCGCCGTCACTTGAGCTCCGCACTAACACTCCAACCCCGACCTCAAGCTAATTATGCCAGTCCCAAATTCCCACTCCGCCCCACTCCAAAGAACCACTAGTAACGCCTGTAACGAAGATTAATCCGACCGCACAAAGGAAGAAACGTTATGATTTGTGTCCTATTTTTCGCCCTCGTAACTTTCGAATCAAATTGTGTTTATGATCAAATTATTTTTTTTAACGTGGTAGTGATAAATTAAACACTATAAAGCGTGTTAAATATCAGCATGATTTACCCTAACGAAGTAAAGTATTGTAATATAACACATTATATAGAAACGACGATACGTTGTTGAAACAACGTTATGTTGTCTATGATTTCGGATAACGAGTTCTAAAAATTTAATTACATCCGTCGCATTCTCACTCTCCATATGGTCACCATCTACAGAGCAGACTGTTATAATAGATAAGGTATCGCGATCAGCAATGATAATTGGCATCACAAACCAGAATGACAAGAATATCCTCGAACTTCAAGAATAAAAAAAGCAAAATCTGCTCATGTTGAAGAAACAAAATGAATGGAATTTGAAAGGGAGATAAATTCATTTATTGTTACAAGACCTTTCTGTTAGTTCTACCATAAGTTGTAAGCCGTTGCATATAAACGGAAAAGCAATATGAGAGCGACGTGACGAAGATCCAAACGTCTGAGTTACATTGAATAATCGCGGGTGTGATGCCTTACAATATCTTACATTTATTACTTTCTCGCTACGTGGTGGAAATCGGCGAATTTTTTACATTAGTAGAAAGCTTAGAGACATAATGGTGGACGACAAAGGCCGACCCAACGGCAGCTTTTTTGTATGGGGTTCATTTGTACATAAGGCCGACATATTTTCCACATTATTGCGCCTACGGTACGGGTTTCCTCTGTGCAACATACAATGGCGATCCAGGGTCACCACGACCCCCCTGCCAACAATTTGTTTTGTATTTTAATCAGTTCATTAAAAACAAGTACCCAATTGATCGAATCTCATTCAAGATGAGCATTTCCATTATGATTGCATATTTTATTAAAATTTTTGAAGCAACCATGAAAGCAATATAAACTCCTTTCTGAAATTCATTGTCTATCCGCCCTTGTGTCCGGTGCAGTTTGCTTGTAATAGGCTGGCGGCAGTGAATGACGTCGTCGGTGATTGACGTCACGGCCGGCGCAGCGGTGCGCCGCCTTCGCGGATGCAGGCGCCTGGACGCCGCGCCGGCCCGTCGCGTCACTATGAACCACGGCCGCCGGGGGAAAAACCTGCAATGCCCCCCCCCCCGGGTGACGTCATGGGCGCGCGATGGCGATCTGCCTCAAGTTCGTGAGAGGTTGCCCTGTTGGTGTGTCTTCCGTGGACGTGGTCCTTTCGTTTTTGGATTAAACTTTGCGTGGTTAGTTGAGGATCTTGACGCAAGTTTACGGAACTTTTCTATTCAAAGATTAATTTTCCTTGCCTGTATCCGCGGTTTTATTTTTGTACTGTGCATTGTACTGTGTGGAATGTATTTGAGAGATTTTACTTATTGTTATATAGTTCGATAGTTTATGCAAGAGTTGGGAATTTTATTTAAGGATACACCTTGAATATTACTTGATTCGTACAATATTTTCGGAGAAGGTTAATGAAAACATATGGACGTGGGTGTACGATGACGATCTTCTTCCAGTTCGCTGGAGGCTGCTCTGTTGATCTTATTTTGTGGACCTTTCATCTTTGGATTAACCCTACTGCGTTTTGCTGAGACTTTTGACGTACGTTCGTAGATTTTTTAAAGGCGTAATCTGCACCTATCTTCATTTGCCGAACGGGTTATGAAACATACATTATGTACAAATTTGTGTATAGATTATTCTCACTATAGATGTTAATTTCTTGAAAATAACTTGAAAATTACATTTCTTGAAAAATATTGTCTTTATAATTTGTTATTTTTCTTTAGGTACTCTGTGCAATGTTTGGAGAGGTTTTCGGGAGTTCTAGAATATGATTTTGTTTAAATCTTCTCTTTATGTTTTCAATTAAGCGTAAAACAAATTTTCATTGAAATTTTATTTGAAATTATATTGTAAAATGTCATTGTTTTTATCATAATTCTTTCTCTCGCTCTCTATCTCTCGCTCTCTATCTCTCTCTCTCTCTCTCTCTCTCTCTCTCTCTCTCTCTCTCGCTCGCTCTCTCCCTCGCTCTCTCTCTCCCTGCTGGATATTTGTCTTAAGTTTACAACAATGTCAATAAAGTATATAATATTGTAATATTATTTAATTCAGTGTCTTTAATGATATGGAGACGTTTTTTAGTATTCTGTTTTTTTACTAAACTATACGTCATTGTTAAATCTCTCGACGATATGTGCTTAGTTGATGTGGACTTATCTCGAATGGGCACGTGCCAGTGCGCAGCGTTTTCGAGAAAGCGCATCTGGTTTCGTCCCGCCCGCCGTATCAGCGCCATCGGGTGTCCTTCGCTTCGGCTGCGAATCATTCGCGGGCCTGCCGGGTGCGTTCGCACTCGCAAACAACACCGCCCCTATTGGGCAACCTCATCCCTTCCCCAATCATAACCACATCCCACCCCTATCCCATTCCCATCCCATCCCCATTTCTTCCCATCCCCCATCCCATCCCATCGCCCATCCCTTCCCATCCCCATTCCCATCCCATCCCATCCCATCCCATCCCTATCCCCACCCATTTCCAAACCATCCCATCCTCATCCATCCCCTTCCGTCCCTTTCCCCATCCCCCATTCCATTCCCACATAATCCTCTATCTCCATCCCCCCTCCCCATCCCCAATCCTCATCACATCTCCCACCCCCATCCCCCTCATTTCCCCTCCCCTCGCATCCCCAACCCCAAACACATTCCCATCCCTAATCACAAACCCCATCTCCATCCCCAATCTCAATCTAAACCCCAATTCCCTCTCCGTCCCATCTCCCGACTCCAGCCCGCGACTTTCCGTTACCGCCTTATCTAACTGCTTTTGTCGTAGCCGTCTCAGCCTGTTCTTCCTCCTACGAGGAAACTAAAGTACATTATTAATGCGATCCTGACAGAATTTTGATGTGTACGACATAGCAATTTGCTGAGAATAGTAAAACGATCCTTTTCTCAATCGTATGTTAGAAAAGGAATTGTATTTCCCAACTACAGGAAAATTACAAATGACTGAAAATATCAAATGACATAAAGTATCGCGTTTGATATTTAAGGGAAATGGTACTTAATTCCAAAAGATGAATATTCCAACGGTTCCAGTGGGTTTCACTCAAAGTGAGGTACTTTACCTAAATTGTAACAAATAAAAATATCGAGAAATAGTTTTATAATATCAGGGTAGTTTTTGTAGTGTTGAAGACTATATTCCCTTCCGGAAACCGTGTGAATAATTTGCAACACGTGAGGCCTTTGCATTTGCACGTTTTGTTTTGTAATATTCAATTTACATTTTTATAGACTAGTTTAATTTTTTTATTTAAACTTTGGAGGATGGCAATTTCTGGAAAGTGAGTCATTAGAATGTCTCTTTCAAAAGAGGTTATTATTTTATTTTAGCAGAGACATTTTTTGATTATGTATATACTAATAATACAAATGTAATGCTCACATCTCTATCATGATTCTCATTGTCAGTGTTTCGGAGTGTGATGCTTCTTAATCCGTTAGTTATTAGTGATTACCAAGATGATTTCATCCATCATGATTAAGAGAGAATGCTGGAACTTCGTTTTTCTCGTGAGACTAATGCAAATATTCCGTTTTGCAATTGAGATGCTTGTTTCGGCAACATACTCAGTTATTTGGCTAATGACTTACCTGCATTAGATAGAGTAGAGTTGGTGCGAGTTTCCTCTCACACAGTAAACGTATTCCAAGGCCTGAGATCTTGTGGAAGTGATATAAACACAGTTCATAGCAAGCTGATGAAAATAATGTGGTTTGTGTTAGACATACAATTGCAGGTTTCGTGGAAGTGTTTTTTTGGCATATTTGTGAAAAAAATCCATGTAATATCTTTATTGTATTTTGTTAATGTGAAAACGCCATTCATTCTCTGATCGAGTATAATTTAAGCAGTCCTGTTTCTCTGTCTAGTTCTTATAGGCCACTTGCCCAGAGATGTGGCATTTTTCCAACAACGTGCGAGCACCGAGCAACTGATGGAGATGCAGCGTTTAGGAAATCTCGGATTCAATTAAAATCGCGTTCAGAACAGTTGAATGGTCTCGCAAAGGAACGTCAGGGGAAGTGGAGCCCCGAATGCGCAGAGCGGCGCGTGGCGGGATCAAGGCGGGGATGGGGGCGTGGCGTGGCGAGGAGAGGGCGGAGGGTTATCGAAGACCCCGCGTGCGCACGCACTGGCCTGCGGGACGGCCGCCCTCGTCCAAAACAGCACGCGCGCACGCCCGCCTCCTGCGCAACATTTCGCTCCCCCTCAAAACAAAACGTCACGCGAACCGCTGCTCGCTTCCAGTGCCACGGCCCTGACCAGTTGGCGAGGATCACAGAGCTTATACTGAACTTCATCGCTTATTGTGAAATGAATACGTAGTTAGAGGCGAGCAAACACGGGATTCACGGATGTGGGCGACTTTGCTTTCAACTCACAATGAAACCCACGCCTCATGAGAGATTTGAACCGACAGCTTTAGTGCAGGGTGGCTGCGTGCTCTAATATATATATTAATGGCTGCCTCGCACAATAAAAGTTTCTTTTACAGTTCTTTTAATAGATGTTAGCGCTTTATTAGATGCATTTTATAGATTGTTGATATGAATTATGAAGTGGGTGCATTGAATTATGAAGTATCTAAATTAGTAAGAGCTTTGAATGTATCTTTTAATTTAATGTAAAGCAATAATGAAATTACCGCTGTTTGTTCAGTTATTCCAAATGCAAACTAATTTTCGGAT